CCAACATTCTTCAAAACATCTTCTTTTGTGTTCAACAGAAGAAAGGAATTCATAAAGGTTTAGAACAACATGAGTGCGTGAATACATGACATAATTTTCATTTTTGGGTGGACTATCCCTTCAATATCAAGTTACTATGAACATAATACCTAAATATAGACAAAGCAAAGTATGTTTGATGTGCACGACTGACCTGGGAGGTCGATGTAGGTCTGTAGCGTGGAAAGACACGTGTAGCATAAAGCCCAGAGCTCATTGACTGAGAACGGCTGAGCAGAGCATGAGAGCAGCTCCCGCAATGAGATCCACTGAGAAAAAGACAAAGAACACGTTATTAATTTTACATCAACATAAGTGCTTCATTTAGTTCCAGGTTTAAGGTAGGACACTACAATATACAATATAGGGTAAAAAAAAACCCCCCGCAAATTTTCACCATGTTTGAGGAATAAAATGTTAAATATAAATCAGGTGAATGTTATATGAGCAAATCCCTCAGTAAAAACCTTCAGAATATAAATAGAAATAAACCTGTAAAGTTTGGTGTGTGTAAGTGTTACTGGAGTGGAGAAAAAAACTCACCGTCTTTAAATATATGTAATAAAACTGAAATCTACAGATGCAAATAGATAAAGTGCCATAAAATAAACACTTAGATTTGTATTTTGAATGTTTTATTTCACTAGTCTGAAAGATATGGAAGAGTATTTCCACCACAGAATAAAAAAATAAAGTAATTGCAACTTTTTATCTCACAATTCTGACTTTTTTCTCTGATTTCTGAGTTTACATCTTGCAATTCTGTTTTTTAGTTATGGAATAAAAAATGTAAAGACATTTGGGACACTTTGTTCTCACAATTTCTTCTCAGAATTCTGACGTTATATCTTGCATTTTTGAGTTTATATCTCACAATTGAGACTTTTCTTCTCAGAAATGGGAGAAAAAAATAATAAAATTGTGAGAAATAAACTCAGAATTGAAAATAAATTCAAATTACGAGAAATAAGCTCAGAATTGAAAAAAAATCTAATTGTGAGAAATAAACTCAGAATTGAAAAATAATATACTTATGAGAAATAAACTCAGAATTGCAAGAAAGAAAATCTAATTATGAGAAATAAACTCAGAATTGAAAAAAATAAAATTGTGAAAAATAAACTCAGAATTGAAAATAAATTCAAATTACGAGAAATATGCTCAGAATTGAAAAAAAAAATCTAATTGTGAGAAATTGCATGTAGAATTCTGAGAAAAAAAGTAAAAACTGTGAGATATAAATTCAAAACTGTGAGATAAAAAAGTCTCAATTACCTTATTTTTTATTGTATGACGGAAATTAGGCTCAATGCACAGAAGGCATGTTATGGAAGCGAAATAGCCCAAAATGTAAAAACTGCATGAAAAAACAATGGCTTTAACTGAAGTGTCTCGCCTTAAATGAACAAAAAAAGTCACATTTGGACTGTTTTGCATCAACACACGCGCCTGATTCTGATATTCCTCATTCAGGCACAACACAGTTTTGTTGACGAGGTTGGAGCTGCGCACTTCAGCGTCTGTCTGAGTTCCTCCGTCTTCTGATGACGCGGGGCTCCGAGCGTCTGCAGCTTCAGTGTGATCCGTCTCGCATGCGTCAGGTTCTTCCTCTCCCTCTGAGTCTGAACCCCTGGGTTTGGGCCGCCGCAGTGTCCCGCTCCAGCTCTCCTCCTCCGTGATCTCGGACAGGTCGGTCATCATCATGCTGATGGGTGCGTGGGACGGAGGACAGAGCGCCGGAGGGTTGTTGGAGTCTGGGACGGAGCAGGAGCGGTTCAGGGCTCTCCTGGCTCTCCCGGGCCTCCTCTCCTGACTCCTCCTGTGCTCCGGAGAACTGTTCTGAGACCTGCTGTCTGGCGAAGGCTCGGCCGAACCTCCGGACCCGACCAGACCTCCGCGCCTCAGCAGCAGCTCCTCGCCGTCATATGAATCAGAGGAGCAGTTTCTCATCATGGTCCAATCGCCGGCGGGATTCTCCGTGGAGTTCGATCTCGAGGCTTTGAGATCCAGAAACTGGAAATTGGATTTCTCCCATCCATCTGTGAACAGACAGAAAGATTTGACCATGCCAGATGCTAGATCAGTGATTCACAAACCTTTTTTTGTCAGCCAAGTTCTAGCTAACATACTTGATATTTTAATCATTTAACAACAATTGTGCATGTTCATGGTTCTCATGTCAGTTAACGGTCACATGATATGCAGGTAAGCAAATAAATTATTTGTATTCTTTTTTTTATTTTTATTTTTATTTTTTATTATTATTCTCTGATGTCAGTAAATGGTTGCATGACATGCAGGTAAACAAATACAATATTTATTTATTTATTTGTATTATTCTCTTATGTCAGTTAATGGTCACATGACACGCAGGTAAACAAATAAAATATCTTTATTATTTTTTTATAACTTTTTATTATTTAGTAGTCTCTCTCAGATAATGGTCACATTATATGCAAGTAAACTAATATATATATATATATATATATATACTGTATATATATATATATTT